TGGCAGAACTCCATCCGCCACAACCTGTCGCTCAACGACTGCTTCAAGAAGGTGCCCCGCAACGAGGACGACCCAGGTAACAGGAGCGCGCGGGTCGCCGGGTCTAGGACTCCTCCGATTTCCGCGAGCCGGGCTGCGGGCCCTGGAGGGGTGGGCACGGCCTCTGACCGCCCCGTCCTCGCTGCACGGCTGGGATCCGGGGCGTGGGCTGAGGGGCGGCAAGCGGGGTGCCCTTGGCCGCGGCCAGGCCCGCAGTCTCTGGCTTTAGGTCCCGTCCTCCTCGAGGCTCCAAACCTCTGCGCACTCCCGCCGCCGGGGGAGAAGCGGGAGAGCTGGGGCGGGGCGACCTCCCCCCAGAGGTGCTTCTCAGGACCTCCGTGTCGTCTCTGTCACACGAGGGGACAATGCCTACGCCAAGGACGGTGGGGCACGTGAGATGCCGCTCTGGGAAGCGCTGAGACCTGCGTGGAGGGTGGTCGGCTCCACCTCCGCGGCTGAGTGCAGAGGCTCCGCACCTACTGTAGGCCTCCCGTCCGGCCTTGAACTTAGGGACTCTCAGTGTTTCCTGGGGCTCGTCGCCCTTCTCTGGTCTTTCTGGAAAGTGCAAATCCTACCCAGCCTGGCCGCGGAGGCCAGGTCGATCCGGTGCAAAGTGCCACCCCGTGGTTTGGGGCGGGCTGGAGCTTGTGATGGGGCCAGAGCGGACTCTCCGAACTTGACCTGGGGCCCTCAAACAAACCCTGGGGTTTTGAGCCGAGCCGTTTCTTCTTCCACAGGCAAAGGCAATTACTGGACCCTGGACCCGAACTGCGAGAAGATGTTCGACAACGGGAACTTCCGACGGAAGAGGAAGAGGCGAGGGGAGGCGAGCCCGGCCGCATCCGCCCGAGCCCGCAGCGGGGGAGGAGCCAAGGCGCTGGATCCCCTGGGCGCAGCGTCCCCGGACCCGCAGGCCTCGCGGTCCTCGCCTGCGCCGGAGGCTGCCGCCTGCTTCTCCAGTTTCGCCTCGGCCATGGGAGCCCTGGCTGGTGGCCTTGGTACCTTCCCTGGGGGCCTGGCGGGCGACTTTCCTTTCGGGAGACCGACGACGGTCTCCACTCACAGCCCCCAGTCTCCTGGCTCTACGCCCAGCTTTTCCACTGGCCATCAGACAGCGGCCACCGGCTTCCGTGTTGGTCACTTCGTCTACAGTCGAGAAGGGACCGAAGTTTGAAGGGAGCCGGGGAGTTGTCCTGAGTGTCCTCTCCAGAGACAGGAAGCTGGGTTCCCCCCTGCGACAGCCCTGCGTGTTGGCCACAGAGGTCAAGGCCCCGGAGGGAGCGCAGAGCAGGGCAGGGGGCAGGCGGGGCTCTGGGAACTGAGCTGAGCAGGTGCCTCAGCCTCCTGAGTGGCCCACCTGTCGTGAGCCCCTCACCCAAGCGACCATCCAGAAGGGGCAAGTGGGCATTCTCTGCTCCACCCGGGTGGTCTGTGGCCGATTTCCTGCTCCGGCCCAGCCTGGCCACCCCACAGCTCGGCGCCTTCCCTCTGCGTTCGGGGTCCGGAGCCGCCTGGGTGGGCCCGGGGCTTCCCACCGACGTCTGCAGGAGTGTGCAGAGGGGGACCCGGGACCGCTGGGCCCGCGACGCCTGTAAGAGGGGCTTTCTAATGGTCGGAGCGGCCGGGGATGGAAGGGAGAAAGGCCGCCGGGTGGGGAGCGGCCCCTGGGGATACCAGCCCGTCCCTGCCACTCAGCGCAGCTCTCATTGAGTGTCCTACGAGCAGGCGCCTCTGCGGACCACAGGAGCAGTGCCTGAGAGTTTGTGGACAGGCCCTGGCTTGCCCCTCACCTCACCTGCACTCACGCACAATCACGCAGGCACGCCCAGGCCATCCTTGTTTCCTACCTCCCCCCCCCATCCCACACACACCCCCACTCCCCAGCACCGCACCCCAGTTTAGGCCCTGAGCTGAGCAG